TGATAAGAAATACGGATTAGATTATTATACAGGGTGTGTCAACAGTACATGCTTGGTTGAAATCTTAACAACCACTACTGATAGATAAAAAAATCAAATAGAAAAATTGTACAGCAATTAAAGCTACTTTACCTAAAAATATTTTCATTTATATAGGATGTTCTAAAAATCTAACCAAATCAAAGTGATATTTTTCTTATGATACACCCCGTTATTAAAAAAATCAAATATCTAGAAGGGTTGTACAGAAATATAAGCTACAAAACCTATAAATGTTTTCATTTATACAGTATGTCCTAAAAATCTGTACCAAATTAATGTGGTATTTTTCTGATGCTACATCCCGTTATGAAGAAAATCAAATATATGTATATAAGCTACAAAACCTAAAAATTTACCAAAAATCTTTACCATATTAAAGTTGTTTTTCTTATGGTATACGCTTTGTTTTGATGTGTTCATTAAGGAACAATACAGAAAAATGAGAAGAAATGATTTTCAAAAATACCTTATATTTTACATTACAAAAGTTTTATAATGCCAATGAATTTTTAAAATAAAAAAAAACTATTCCAATAAACTAAAAAATAACATTATTTACATACTTAAAATATTAAAATTTATCTTTGTTATTCACTTGTCTGGTTTGAACTTTCAGAACTGCCTGGATCAAAAGAATTTTCAGTTACTTCTGACATTCTGACTGGTGACCTACCGCGTACTTGAGATCTTAATAAAAAGAGCAATACATCTTTAGGAAACGTTCTTAAATTCGCAATTGGTTTTTCGCGGTACGAACTAATCAAAGGGTCAGAAGTAATCAGAAGCATATTAAAAAGGTTCATATTCGTGTATATTCTAAAAGTTTTTTCGTGTATGTGTCAATCGATAAAGTCTGCAATCTTTATTGCGAGCCTCTTGTGCTTCTTCAGACAATTGTCCGAGTGGCACAATACACTCCCTAGTAACATCTACTACATAGGTTAATATTTTATGAATACTTACAGGCATTGGATACTAATTATACAAGGTAATGTACATTTCCTTAGTTTCTAATAAAAAAAAATTAAATGGTTCTAAATTTAAATCGTATTCCGAGGACAAGCAACACAGTATCACATAAAAACCCTCAATTAGAACTTGATCAATCCTGGCACTTTGACCAGCATGTTTGAAAAACCTTCTAGCGGTGTTTCATTTCTAGTACAAAACCCAGGTTTATCTACTATTACACCCACTTCAGTTTTGAAATTCGCTTGATTTGTCATTCTCATCTTGTATAGTCCATTCTATATGATAAATGCAAAAAATATTCAAGCGCTTTTATCCATGCGTGTAGAGTGGATAAACCGTACTGATAAACTTCGAGCTTAGGTGATTGGAATTCATTTCACTGGGTTTGGCGCCACAAATGTAGCAATTGTGATTATCCAACTGTTGTACGAGGTTAGCGCCAAAATTTCTCGGCCTGATATAGATGCAGCTCCAGCATCACGATAAAACTTTGTCTTTTAAATATGTATTAGTAGGCTGCGAAAAAAAAATTGAAGTCTTGCGTCAAACAGTTTTTTATTGACAGCATTTTAAAAAAGATGTGTATGAAAAAATGTCGCAAAGAACGCAAATTCAGTATAGAGCAGTCATAAAGTTTCTGACACAAGAAAGGTGAGCACCTAAAATTATTAAAGAAAGGCTGGATGGTATATGCTGGCAAAGTTCTCCTTCATATTCTGTAGTGAAAGAATGGGCAAAACGTTATCGAATGGGGCAGGAGTCCCTTGAAAATGATTCAAAAACTGGTCGACCAGTGGAGGTCATAACGGAAGATATTGTTGCGATTGTGGATGAGGTGGTATTGAGTGAACGACGTTTAAAGGTCAAGAAAATATCAGATATTACTAAGCTTTCTGGTACAAGTGTTCGTGGAATCCTGCATGATCATTTAGGTATGCATAAGGTTAGTGCATGATGGGTTCCTTAAAACCTTTCGGCTATTCAAATACAACGCCGTGTCGAGTGTGCGCGGTTTTTTTGGGACTCCGTGGGTCGGAACCGAAGCCTGTGATAGAAACTATTGTGACGGGAGATGAAACTATGGTTCTCTATTATGACCCTCTATCGAAAAAAGAATTAATGTAATGGCGTCGTAAGGGTGAAGCACCTCCAAGAAAATTCAGAATCGGCCAGTCAACAAAAAAGGTGATATCCACGATCTTTTGGGATTGTGAAGGATTTTTTTTGATAGATTTTAAAGAAACTAATATCACTGTCAATGGTAAATATTACGCAACATTATTACATAAATTGCGAAACTGCATACTTGTAAAACGTTGAGGAAAACTGACCAGAGGCGTGCGTCTTTTGCACCATAATGCACCTGTCCATAGTGCTGGTGTTGCACGAGCTGCCATTTTAGAGTGTGGGTTCCAACAGTTAGATCATTCTCCCTATAGTCCAGATATGACCCACAGCGACTATTATTTGTTTGGATATTTGGAAAAGGACTTTAGCGACGAAGTTGAGTTAAAAGAGGCTGCTTTAGCTCATTTTGCAGACAAACCAAAAGAATATTTTTTAAAGGGCTTGAGTTTTTAATAAAGAGATGTAATAAGTGCATTGAAGTTAAGGGGGATTATATTGAAAAATAATGAAACATTGTTACTCTACTTTGTTTCTTTCGTATTCAGGCCGGGAAATTTTGGCGCTGCCCTCGTAAGTCAATACTTCTTCCACATCAATTAAATTTGTTGAAGGAATACATTCCAGTTATTTTTCTTAGGCAGTATAGTGAAGGGTACAAATTGTGACCTTTTTCTAAAGCTTTTTTTCTCAATACTTTATATTTATTATACTTATTTATATTATACTTATATATATTAAATTGGATAAATTGAGCTAAAAACGAATTTATATTATATTATATTATAAGAAGTTTTTTATATTAATATAATTATGTTGCAGATTATTTTTAGACACACGGCATTATAGCGATTATTTTCTTCTAGGGTGGGAATGTGTTATACTAATTTGAAGACGAAATTTAAGGCCGGGCCTAGACGGTCAATACTATTGCGCAATATTGTGCATATTATATTTATGTGTATATTTATATGTAAGTATGTTTTTGTTTTCATCATTTTATAGACAATGACAGGAGCAGAATAAAGCGCAATATTATTTAGTTTAGTTTACTTCGTTTTTATTATTTATTGACCGTCTAGATCGGGCCTATGTAAGATAGTTTAAAAATAATATAACTAACTGCTCTAGGGCGCATTTTTTATTTGTTCACCTTTCTTTCCTGCAACCAGCCGACTTCCATTCTCTTTCTATTTTTAGACGAAACAGCTTTATTTTGGGTTTTGAAACCATTTGAAATGTTCCTAGAAATATTTTCTATACGAAAAGTTTCTAAATGGACTGATACAATCTGCGTTGTTTCATTTTTCGTGTAAGAATACCAAACGTCTAAATAAGTCTTACGAGAAGTTCGGCAATTACCTCCTACAAAAAAAAAGTCAGTATGATGGAAGGCCGTGCGAAAACTTTGCATAATGGAAAAAGAAGGCTAAATAATGTAATGTTAAAATATCAAAAAACCAAAGGGAGTACTCATACTTAGATTTTCGGAACAAATTGGAAAAGTTGGCATTAACTGTTTTAATGTTTACCATTAAATAAATATCAATCAAAGCAAAAAAAAGTAGCCCCTACCTTCAATAATATTGGCCATTTTTTAGCAGAATGTAGGTTGCACACAAATATAAACTGATTTAGCCTAATTATCCCCAAATTTACTCAAACTTCACAATTAAATTCACGACGCGAATATTGGTAAATGTTAATAACAAACATAATTATGTTGTCATGGGATACTAACCAACAGTTGAGGGTTTCAAAGGTTACTAGATCAATCAATTGTTTTTTGCGGCCTAAGATATAGAGATCGAATCTCTATGCGACGTAGGAGGAGGTATTATAGTAGTCTGTGGAAAATTAATAATACAATTAGAATTTATTCTATCAAATTTATCTATAACACTCACTTATACCTTGGTATATAATGACCTTAATTGTGGTTGATCGATTTTGTTTTTAAAAAATATCGAATGTAATGGCTTTGCTAGGCACAAGATCAATAATAACAAAAGAAAAATATTTTGCTTATATTTACATATCTAAAGTAATATATAAAACAAACCGGCTAGCATATAATAGATGTTACACAGTAAGCAACTAAAATAACATGCCTATTTATTTAGTTTTTTTTTTTATTTTAACTTATTCAGATACAAAACATAAATGGATAGAAAAATGGATATGTGAAAGTTGTAAAATATTTTAACGATTTTGCAGTCTGATTTTGATATGCTCTTTGTATAAAAAAATTAGTGTTTATTGTTTAGAGTTGAATTGTTTGTAAATTAAATGTTACACTAATTATAAAAATGCCAGCAACAAATTGGAGATAAAATAGGTTTCTAAATACCTTAAAGGTCTCACAAGCTCACCAAAAAAACTTTGCTTGTTTAGCGAACTCTATATCTTAAATAGTTTTCGACGTCTATTCACTAAATCCACAACTCATCATATAAACGAACGATAAGTCTCACAATACTGATCAAATTTTGCATGTCTGGGTTTTGAAAGATTAACCCTGCTTTGCCAGAGTCTAAATAATAGATCTTCTTGAATAAGATAAAAAAAGCCATAAAATTAACTCGATCAAAAAATATACGAGACCTTAAATATTTATTTTATTTCTTTTTTTTTTCATAGAAATTGTTATTGGATTTCCATTAAATTCAATTAATCGAATAGTTTGAATTTGAAATTAGTGACACGCCAATGCCTTGTTTAAAAGTGTTATTCTACAGAGACTAAGTATTTATCGGAGGTCCCTCGTATACAAAGAGCGGTGTTTGGAGAATCAATCGATTACATAATAATTTGTGTTTGTCTCAATTACTAATTATGTTCAAGCGAAGACGAGATGACTTTTTAAAAACTTTATTTTCAAAATACAATCGAAAATTAAGAGTTTCTGCAGCAGCAGTTACAACAAGAATAATCATATTACTTAAAACTAAGACTTTATAGGTTCGTATCCGAAAAGCTGACAATGTGAATCTCACGGTCTCTTCATAGTACCATCGTGGCCAAATGCTGACATCGTAGATCTCACGGTGTCCTATCCTTATCACCTAGAAATCATTGTACATGACTTACTAAAAGCACCAAATAAAAATCTAATAGCGATATAGGATGTGCGTTTCAAAACAAAATAATAAAATTTGGAACAAGCGGGCTCATTATAATTTGCCGGGAAAACCGGATACAAAAATTCGTCCGTCTCTCGGCTCACTATTTATCAAAACCAGACTGCAGCAAGAAATTAGAGACAGCGTTAATAAATTAAATTACGCTTAATTACTCCCAATTAGGTAAAGTTAAATGATTTAAAGTCAACCGGCTCTGTTAATAACTAGTAATAATTCGAGAAATAAGTCTGCTGGATAAAATTTTCCTATCTCGCAATTGAAACTGTTCTAGAGGATTATTTTGAACCGAAATTGCAATATTCCTCTTACTTGAGAGTTCGGTTTCGGGGTAACACTCATAAGTATTACGTATTATATTAACACACCTCTATAACTGTTTCTTACCAAAATAAAAAACATTTTATTTTCAAAAAATTAACTAACATATTATTTGACTTTGAAACAAATATTTTTATACAATTTGATACAATACAAAAATGAGGAACGGGCTAAGTGGGAACACATTATTTGGTCAAATTCTAATAAAATCTTTGTGCTTAGGGTCTTTTAGATAAGGAATCATTGATATTTGGTGCCTATTTCTAATATCTTATATGGTTTTTCCTTTCTTAAGTATCGATGTGACTTTCGAACATGGTATTTCAGAAAAAGATCCAGCAGTAAACAAAAAGCCAGGTCTTTGGGAGTCAACTTTCAAATCAAATCGGCCTGTGTGTGTAATTGACACTATTACATTGTGTAAGTCCTCAGGTACCATCGGAACGCACTTGCGCTTTCTTTTCTCGATCAAAGCGAAATCCCTGTCGCACTGAAGGAAGCTATGACCTCTGAAAAGTTATCTATGTTCAATAATGTCAAGGAGTCCAAGAGTCACTAAAAACACATAGATAAAAACAATTCTAATAAACAAGACCCAATTTCGTTACTGCCACGTCCTGGCACTCTTTTATGCCAACAGCACATATATGAATGCCTGTTATCCCCAAAGTTGATTCTTAAGTTGTAGTATGAAAGTTGGCATGTCAGAGTGGGTGAAAGTCGGTACGAAAATCACTTGTTTCCAAATCCACTGAGAACACCCTCGTGGTGCCTCCTTGCACTTGCGACGATGTCTCTTTTCACGAGCATACGATATCTCTTTTCGTGAGCATACACGCTACTTCTGCCTTTCTATGGTGCACCTCCAGCTACAACTTTGCCGCCCGACTTCTTTCGCCCTGCGCTTTTAGTTTGCAATTTAACGAGTCACATTTACGAGGTCCTTCAAATGAAACATTTGGAAAGTCTTTTTTCAACACTTTTTTGTAAAACTTGTAGGTGACCAAACTGAGTTGATATTTCTGCAATAACGCTTCGTGAAGGCAGTTCACATTTAAATCTGGACATAAATATTCTTTTGCACCTTTTTCGCAATTCTTCTCGGGGTACACTATCTATAAGCTCTTTAATAAGTTTCCTATCACCCTGCGTAAATTTTCCAGAAGCTGTACGAGTTCTCATGTCTTTATAAACGACTTTGCCGCTTTTTTTCTTTCGTATAATAGTTTCCAAATGCTTTTTTGTCAAATCGAAAGTATTCATTAAAGTAAATTTACCTACAACTACATTCCCTCTCCGTCTGGAAGGCTATATTAGGTGGTATATTGACTGATTCAATCAAGGGGATCTTCGTATGTCAATCTCTGTTCGTAGTTTAACGACTTGCAGTTAAATTTACATTCACATGTTATTTGCAAGAAAGAGAAATATTTTTTAGGACTTACAGAAAAGTATATATACACAGTAAAACGACTGCGCTAAGCCTGTGAATTGAAACCTACAGCGCATAAGTTAAAAATTGGCACCGTCCTATGACTTACTTGTAGGTTAGGTCTCCTTTTTTTACTACAGTGTTCCCATTTCTGTTTTTATAAGATTGTCTTGCATTTTTGTCCTTGCTTATCACTTAATCTTCCCATTCCTTGGTTTCGACGTTCAAAATTCATTTCGAATAGATCTTTACACTATTTGATAGCGTCGTTACAGAAAACGATTAAAAAATAATATAAACACATATCACGATTCTTGACCCCTTTGTTGTGAAAATAACAAATCACTTACAGAAAGCGCCACCTATCGGCGTAATTTTTTTCGGAGGTTATAATTCTGACACTTTGCCCGCTTGGTGGGTCATAGTGCATTTTATAAGACTTTAAAATGTTTACAGTTCTCTATTGTATACACTCGAAGCAAATAATAAACATCCCGACATATGATTAAACGCATCGTTTAAGATTAAATTGAGCTCGATTGTTGCGCGAACAACATCAAAAATTTGCATTTACAGTGCACTCGGAACTTCGGCAATTTAATGCAGATTTTATGCAAATGTAATTCTGTAATAACAGAAACCAATGTAAACAACATAAACAGTTTTACCTGATGTTGATATTCGAAATAATATCGGTAACCGCTTTATGAAAACAATTTTTATCATTTAGCGCTTTTGAAATGCAATTTGGAAGCTGCTATTCATCTTGTATGTTTATGACGGCGAAATCCGAATAAAATTTAGTAACCATATTCCTTTTATTTTCCAAAAAAGAACATAAATTATAGTGCTTGTAATTATATAAATAAATTGCCAAAATGTGTTAAATAATAAAATTGTTGTTAAATATAAATACCACAATTTTTTATATTTATGATGATTAGAAATTTTCAAAAATAAGAAAGTTTTCAAACATTTATGATTAAAATTGACCGATGAGAATTAATATTTGTGTTCAAAAAATGTTCCCTGTTCTTGTTTTATCTTGTTTTTTTGCCGCGCATAGTCCATTATTATCAATGCTATAATTAATTTTTCTTCTTCCTATTCTAAAATACAAAATTTTGCACTGATGGAATTCTGAAGTCTGTTACTCCAGAGTAACGTCATACTGATCGCACATACGAAGCATAAAGTAAAACATGGCACCAAATCCAAATCAAAAAAATTAGAACGCTGAATATTTGGTCAGCTATATTCAGATGTATTCTCAGATCCTTCACAGTTTCAATGTTGCTACAATCAATAACAGTTCCTTTATGACTAGAAACGGTATTCAACAGATTCTTCTGTAATACTACTACAAATTTGTAGACCATCTGCAAAGAGCCACTCATTTGAATATAGTTATTCCCTATATCATTGACAACATCCTTTCCCATCTTTTACAAACTTCGAAAATCTTTTATTATCTTATCATTATCTTCATATTTTTATAACAATATAATATTTTAAAACTATTTTAATGTCGATGATTGAGAATTGCTATATGTAGTCTTGTTTATGAAGAAACCAATTTCAGTGACGAATGTGTTCAGCCATTAGCATTAATCTTTAAAACATTTAATATAGTTTCAGTTGCTGTTTATTCAATAAATATTCAGCGGACCGGGTAGCATTATTGAAAACAGCGCCACCTACCTTCAAAAATCGAAAATCGCTGTTCAATATCTGTTTGTAGATCGGGGGTTCCTTGGATTTCCTGGAATATACCCATCCCTTACAGATGTTCCAGACTGGTCGAACTTGGAGAATTTTTTATCCATATAGTAGTAGCAACTTGAAGTACATATTGACCTTTTTAAAGAAAAATCTAAATCTGATATCTTCTTCGGTTACCTTTGAAACACTTGCATTCATGTCACTGCAGTCTACCTGTTTTGTTTCCGCTCATACCTAAACAAACTCGTGACTAAAATGTCGTTTATGAAACTTATTGCACTATTTTCTAAACTTATCTTTACCGTAATTTGGCAGTATCAAAATGAGAAATATTTTACCGCCCGTAGTAATATACTAATACCGGTTCTAAGTGCATTTTGCGAGATAATTTGAATTGTCGTGAATCGTTCGTTGTGGTCAGGTTGACGCGAGAAAATTTCGAATTTTCGGTAACTGTGGAACATAGCATAAAATTGAAGAAAGGGTTGATATCGTTGGATATATTCTTTTTTCAGAAAAAAAAAGTTTTTTGCGATTACTTAGGAAAATTCCATCTAGTGGCAGGGTAGGGAATTGCAATCTCGTCACACGGCAAGGGTGGCCGAGAAAAGGCTGTTCTCAACTACTCCAAATTCATTAAAATACGTTAAGCCTTGAAATGGAAATTTATGTAAGAAACTACACACCACCCTCCTTGCACAGATAGAACAAAAAATATTTGAATTTGTCTTAGATGAAAAACAGTACTCACTTTAACTATGCCTCACTTCAGAACCTTTTGTAGAAACCGAGTTTTAAAATTCAGGATTTTAATTAGGCACTGGTGGCCATTTCACAAACTCAGCACTTTTTCGTGGCCGATGTATACAGTACTTTTTTTTCTAATTTCTAGAACCCTAATACAGCACTTCGTTGCCCCTACGGGGACACCTGGTATATAAACCATGTTGCGAACACTCCTGAGTCACGTCCTTTTCGGATTGTATTTGGTTTTATATTCGGAACGAAATCTGCTTTAAAAAAAAAGTTTGGTAGAAAAAGATGATCGGATCTCGATTCACGCCATTGAAAGAAGAGCAAAAAATACGAGCTAGCTTCAAATGTAGCGTTTTCGATATGCTAATAGGGAGGATTCGAGTTGAAAACTGTACTTAGTAAGGTTTAAGTTTAAATTTAAAACTGTAAACCTTAAGTCTAATTGAGTTTTAATTTTTGCAACTAGGTTCACCAGGAATTTTTAGATTATTCTACTAAATATTTCGCATGGACATTTTTTAAAAATAGTTCTTATATGCAGTGTGTAACTGAAATATAAATTGGAAAAAAATAATTACTCGAAAATTTTTTCTAGTCTGGGAAATTCTGGGGTAGTCAACAGCTCTAATTGTGCGACATTACCGCTAGAGTGGCACGCGAGTACGAACGCTTGCGCTGGTAGGCATGCTGACACGAGCTAACTTTGATTAACCTAGAGCAGTGGTTCCCTAAGTGGTCCCCAGGGACGATGCTCTACTTTGGAATGAGAAAAATAAATTTATATGGCATTTAGATAGAATATAATAAAAATAAAGTTTGAAAGTGTCTAAAAAAAGCCTGGGAACCACTGATTTAGAAGCTGACCCCGGAAATTTCCGGTATGGTCTGTTCATAGATATAGGAAAGTGACCAATTGCTTTTGAATGGGATTATTCATTACCCATTAACATACAATGCAAAAAAAATTATTACCTAAAGTTTAGGAATTTAAAATCTGGTAAAATTGTGGTCCGTAATAGAAAATAATTTTATACCTCCCTGTGTTTAATATTCTTTGGTTTGGTATACTACTTTGTTTAAGTTTATTAGTAATCATTCTTATTTCGTGTATTGATTCGCGTGCGAATTATGCAAAATATGTGCGAGTCTAGTGTATCTCAGGAGATGCTTCCGCCCAGATGTAGAAAACAGTATTTTATTGAGACTAAGGAAGATATAAACAATGTTTATTTGACTCTCATTGAACGTGGTGCCAGCAAGCAAGCATCTTTAGAAGAAACGGCCACATTGACGAAAATTCCAACATGAACTGTATGGAAAATTGTGAATAATCCCATTTCAGCGAGGACAAAAAGAAGCGATGCTGACATTTCCTCAAATGTAGATGAAAGTGATCAAGATATAATACGAGGGTAAGATTTACCAGCTATACGAGGAACAAAGCGTGCCTACATTAGATATCTTAATTACGAGGCTTGAAAAAGATAAAACCGGTGTTAAATGTGGCAGAACACATTGGTTATAGATTTAAAAAAAATGAAAAAAGGCAAGTTTTAATAGAATCTTTTAGAATTCGGAAATGCGACTGGAATATCTAGAAAAAATTAGGATTTACAGAGAACAACAAAGGCCAATTATTTACTTGGATGAAACCTGGTTCGACACTTATGATACCCCGGAAAAGGGTTGGGTTGACTCAACTGATAAGTATAAAACAAACGCGCCATCAAAAAGAGGTAAAAGAATAACTATTTTGCATGCTGGCTCTAAAGATGGTTGGATTCCAAATGGACTTTCTCTGTCTGCCAAAAATATTAAAGATTCTTCTCTGGATTACCATGAAGACACCACCGCTGATTTATTTGAAAATTGGTTTAAAAAGAAACTAGTTCCAAACATTCCTCCTAATAGCGTAATTGTAATGGACAATGCAAGTTATCACAGCAGATAGTTGACTAAAACCCCTTCCTCATGTGACACAAAAGTAACAATCCAAAACTACATGTATAATAACGACATTTATTTTCACGAAGATTATACCAAAAAGCAATTAATTGAGGTTCTACAAAGCTTGAACGTACAAAAGGAATACGTCTGTGATATTTATGCAAAAAATCTAGGGCATACAGTTCTAGCATGTTGAACATGTTTGAAATCTGCCATTCATCGTAACAATGTTTTTCCCCGTGTTAACTCCAATGTCCTCAATCTTATAGAAACCGAAGTTTTTAACATCCCTCCACAAAGTTGGGCAAATTCTGTTAAACATATAGAAAAAGCAGAACGATCCAATGCAAATAATATAGAACAAATAATAATTAGAACAGGCGATAACTTAAGTAGGTAATAAAAATAATTTGTAATTTTATTTTAGATTTAAACATAAATGCCTACATTAATAAATAAATATTGTTTAGTATCTTTCATAGAAAAACCCCAAATAAGCAAAGTACGGACCTGTTCGGCCATATTTCATTCTTACAGCTTGCTCGGGTTTTTCCTTAATTCGTATCAGTTAGTCACTTTCTTATATCTATGAACAGACTTTATCTTACTCACGGATGAGATGGTAGATTTTAGTGACAGACAATATTAATAAGTCATTGTAAATAGCATAGGCAAACGCTTTGGTTAGTTTTCATGAGTTGGGTTAATGAATCGATTTAAATAAATTTAAGCATTTGATTACCACTTTTCACCAGTCAGTTTAACAAAATGCGCAACCCCAAATGTGAAATTATTTAGAATGTGGTATCGATTTTTTTTATATATAATATTAGAGTGAACTGGAACAGAATGTTTTTCATAGATGTAATCTATGTTATGTGATTGAATGAATATAATATAAAACTGCGACAACCCAAACAAAATTTCCGTGTTGAGGAAAATCCTTTTAACAGTAATTTCTTTTAAGTTTCTAAACCACCTTCGTGTTGAAAAAATCAATTTACTGGAACCGTAAGAATTATTCAAATCTAGATACTCACCCCAGTAACAAAAAGTAAAGCCGCCCGGCAAAACAATCGGCACCTAAAGTTGATTAGAACGGTTACAACACCCTAATCCACTCTTAAATTCAGATCAGGATTGATGGAACAGGAAGTAAATTGCCTGAATCGAAAGCTACGTCTCCACTGGGTCATTACAGACAACATTATTTTACGTGGTTAATTTTCTTTCGAGGTTAGATTTAATGCTTGGTCTGCGTCGGACGCAATCGATTAACATTTAGCGTCATTTAAATGTGGTCCGTCGATAACGAGTGGTTTTTATCGTTATCGGTGCTAGAACGAATTTAGCAGCATGACTTCCAAATGCTTTTTGATTGACATAAATTAATGTGAATGATATAGTTCTTATTTTGATGCTTCCCCACTATGTTAGGTACTCGACATTCCTTTTAAAAAGGTTTACAACCTCTGGTAGTAAACATGATTATGGAAGTTACTAATCGACTCGATTTGATTCAGACTTTAATGGTCGTTTACGTTATAGGTAGGATTTTCACCGAATTCTAAGTAATTTTTTTATTAATCTGCTAGGCATGTCTGGATCCCAAGACTTCGGCTGCTGAATTTAATGCATATTTATGTCTGATCAATCTTATACTGTGCTAGATTATTTTTGCCAGATTACTTACGGGATTTTCATTTTTAAGAAATAATAACCAGCACATAGTTGCTACACTAATCATATCTTGCATATTTTTGTAAAACTGGAGAATATTTGCAGAAAATTTGTAGATCTGAATAAGACGGAAGAAAAACGGATCTATCAAATTAGGATTTTGACCTGAGTTTGTTGGATTTTTTTACTAACGTGTAAATCCTTTTTCAATTACATAACAACTTCTTTTTTTTAACCACAGTGATGTGACATCCGTAAAGTCCAAACACTAAATCGCAAATTTTATATACATTCAAATTTTAATTTGGTAACATTTTTAAGAATATTTTGGACGCATGTTCTATATCGAACTGTTTGGTTAACATCACACAGACGGATGGTGAATTAGCACGTTCACTGCCAACTATGAGATAATTTGTAGATTGCACACTTTTACAGGATGCCAACTACGAGTTATCTCGTCGTGTGTTTACTTGCCAAAGATTTTTAATAAAATCATATTGTCATTTCTAGACAAATTTCTGAAAATTGCCGCTGTAGTCAAAGTGTTAGAAGATAAAATGAGAAAAATTGTACCATAATGGATCTCAAATAATAAATAATAAATTGAAGAGTAAATTTGATTTGTTTTTGCTTTTCTATATCGGTTATAGTTCAATACAATGATTGATATGCAAAAACTATCTCAAATTACCTGATCAAGACATTTTTTTACGTTATTTTTTGTCTACTCAGTCCAGCGTGAAATGATCTGGAAAGTTATTGAAGAATTAGGTTCAACTACTATCATCATGACTATTACAAATAGGACTGATCTTTGGGTGTCTATAAGCATTATTTTCAGATATTTGACGAATTAGTTAGCAAATGTGCAAGTTTTAAATATCTGAGAAATGTATAAACGATGAATGAAATGTTGACAACGCTGAATAAAATTAAAACTGAAAACTGCTATCAATTTTACTATGAAATCACAGTTCATACATTCAATGTTTTCATAACCTTTCTCAACGCGTCCCCCTAAGAGCGGTTCAGCAGATCTTACCGGCGAACTAAAAAAACAAATGTCTGCATTTTTTTAACCAAGATTTCTTAAGAATTTATGAAGTAGAAATCACCAAACATGGAGGACCCCGGTATCCGCGTTGGCACCGAGTGTGTTAAGGAAATATTGCGTGTCATAGCCATCTTCGATTTTTCGGTACAGTTAAATTTGCATTTATATACTTCCTTTGTAGTTCGGCTATACGTTAGTTAACTAAACGAACTTAACAAAACTGGTCTGAATCGGTTTTTTGATATAGAACTTAAACGTGCGTAGTTGATATGTCGTTATTTTTTCTATGACTGAAAAAATAAAGACATATGTTTTGGTTAGTCTACGTCGTTGAAAAACTCATAACGACTTCAATAAAACCATTAAAAGACATACAGGGTGTTCCATTAAAAAATCACTTGTTTAATGTCTATATCAATATTTGCGTTCATTTGATGAAAATATAAGTCAGGAAAGCCCGAACAATACGATGTGTAATGGGCATGCGTATTTCTTTTGACTCGTTTGAGTTACACGATATTGGAGGTATGTTCAAAAAGTAAGGTTACTTTTTTAATTGGGCCGGCTACTTTCATTCCATCTTCGATATTTTTTTTGTTATGTTGGTACACATGTCCCTTACATATGTTAATAGTTTCAGTCAGTTTGCAACATTGCTTCCTTTTTTTTTGTGAGACAGAAGCGTTAGACGTGTTTTATGTGCTCTGCGATTTTCGGCTGTCAAAAAAAGATAGAGCAAAGAATTTGCAAAAAAAAATTGTGCTGCAAAACACTTGAAGCCTTGAAAACCTCATACGCTTAATCTACTTTGAGCAAAAAAAAAGTTAATAACTGACGAAAGCGTTGAAAAAGTCATACAAATGATGTTGAACAATTGTCGAATTTCTATTAGAGAAGTGGCTCAAGACGTCGGCATCTATATTGGCTCGTGTCATTCAATTTTTTCGAAAGTTCTGGGCATAAAAGGTGTAGCAGCAAAAATTGTTCCGAAACCACTTAATTTTGAACAAAAGGGTCGTCAAAGGAGCATCGGCCAAGCCCGTGCGGTAATATCCCGGAAATGTCCGAAGTAACTCGAATCCGTGGGAAACAAAACTGGCCAGGTAAAATGACACTTTCCGTACGCTAGACCGTTAGTTTTTGGGGTATATTTTTGTAAAGCAACACGAATACATTAACTGACCTGACCGACACAATTGACAAACGTCAAAATTCAAGCTGTGAGGTAAAATCTCCGTAAATATACTATTGCTCCCAAACCCGTGCGTTAATATCCCGGAAGTGTCCAAAGTCGCTCGACTCCGTGGAACAAGAAACTCACGTGGTAATGTGACGCTTCACGCACTAGAGAGCGGTGTATAATTAGGTATTTGACAAAACGTAGTAGAAAAAATATATAAAGCTAATCAGGGATGAGAACGATTACGCTTGCTGCCATTGCTATATGACACCAAGCGTATTCTTATGGCATGCTGGTGCCATCATTATGACGCAGTTGTCATCCTTCGTCATATTGGTTATAAGTGAACATTTCGCACTACTAGATTATAATCAATGAAAATTGTGTTTTTTTGTTGACGAATTACCTTTAAATCTCCCAGCCTACCTGTATAAGTTCAAAGTTGTTTGACTTGACATCTCTAATAAAAATAGTGACGTTCCTATTTTCAAAGGTTTTTGGCTTGACATTTTCTTACCGAATTTTCTTCATGACTAAGTTTATCTTCAAAAATTTTTCTTCGTGCACTAGATTTGTTGGTGAAACGTCTCAAAAAACGTTTCAAAAAAATCGCATTCTCGAAAAAAAAATGGGAAAAAATTGAAGTACAATTATACATAAAAAATTTTGGATCCGTAAAATTGTTGTTGGTTTTTATGCTTCCAAGGTTATTAGTGCCCGAAACACAAATGTCATTTTTTTATCCCTATATGCGATGGATAATTAACCGTACAACACGCAATCCATATCGACCGCGACGCCGTAAACGAACGGTAGATAACATAACACGACATTTTAATAATAATCGGGTCAGCCCGCGGTTAAGTAATCCCCGATGAATTCCGGCGCCCATAAAAGAATGGAGTTGTTTTCGAGTTATAAATTTAACAATTACATGAAACGGTAGTAACCAGGCAGCAAGTTCTATGGCATTCAGCAGGCACTTTTTAATAATTCGACCAATAAAAAATCAATTTGAGCAAAGGAAAAAAATTGCATATGGTAACATAGCCCTCCGCTCCTCCCAAGAATGTAATCATATAGCTATGGATGTGAATGGTTATAAAAACGATATTGTGACCAGCGAGTCGAGAGGGCTGTGCCCAGCCCTGCCATCTCCACCTCCGTCTGTGTTCTAAGAACTCTGGCTGAACCACAAGACGTTCTGAATATTCTAATTTGTAGAAACATTATATACACTATTTGTCGTGTGTATAGTGATCAATAATGTGTAAGTAGTTAATTACTTTTTCATTTTGGATTAAATAAAATTCCGTGTTACACGTTACACGTTTCTCCAACCCCAGTAATTTTTGTCAATTCAAAAGCGTGACAATATTTCGCTCGCTGTTTTCTTTCTAAACAGCGATCTCCACGTACTTGAATGGTTTTCTCTAGACATTTGAGTACATCTGGGTCCATATTTAGGTCAAATACTGGTGCAAAAATCATACTTCAATTAACACTTGGTTGCAATCACCATCCCTAATTCATTCCATGCAGGTCCTGAATTGGTTTTAACTTCCTTCACCGAGGGGGAATTATGTCCTAAACCATATACCTACCTAATTTGATATTTATTTACACCTTTATCATATATCTCAAATGGGAGACAATGGAGAACAACCTATTGTAAAACTTTCCATAACACATTCTAGGCTGCTATGTATATGATTTATGTAAAAAATGATGGACGGGCTTTGTGGGGGTGGACTTCTGGGCACCGCACACAAAAACACAAAAAATGATAATTGGTGACATTAAGGCTAAAGTAAATTGGATTTGAGAGAAGAAAAAAGCTCATTGCATTGATAATAAATGTACAATAATGAATACAAGCAATATAAAAAAAAAGCTTTATAACTGGAGTTGACCGGATGGGTTAAGTAAGAACCAAACAGATTAGTTCCTTTTTCAATCGCGCTGGAGACCATCAGTAAACAACACAAAGACCTACCATTCGCTGCCTGCGGCAGTAACTAGCAACTTTTGAAGACGGAATATATCTCAAGAAAAATTCAATAAAATCACCAAACACAAAACGTCTTCAACCATCACAAAATCTACAACCTAAAAGTGTCAATGTGAAAACGCTAATAATCAAAATCGCACAGTTATCGAAAGACACTGGAATCACTAGATCATCCCCACAAGAAACAACCTTGGACCTCCAACATGACATTAGATCTCTGCGAAACCAGAAGGAAGATGAAGACCGATTCACTCGAAGATCCTCTGATATGTCAATACAATACAATACAAATC